CTTTCTTTCCAGCTCCCATTTTTCTTTTTCAACATTGAACTCTTCAATCCTTTGGCCCCTGACTTCAAGTTCGGCAATCAGATGGTTCATTTCAGATTCAAATCCCTTGAACATGATATTTTTCTCACCTTCAAATTTATCAAAGATGTCATTCTTCATCTCTTCTAAATCTTTGTCTCGATCCCTTTCTCTTTGCATTTCATTCATGATCTCGCGGTGTTCAGCTTTGTGTTTTATAATTCGCTCTCTTCTGTCAACCTCAAAATCTTCCATTTTCTGCTTTCCTTTTTTAAGGCTTTTGAGTAGACGGCTATTCTTTCCTTTCAGATCTTCAACTCGACTTTTCTCGATGTTCAATTCTCTGGTCATCTGTACTGTTGATCGGTTCGGTCCTGATGCTTTCCAGGATTTATATAACTCCTGGTAATTTTTCTTTAATGTTCTGAATTCACCATCAATTTTTTCTTGGTTTTCTCTCAACATTGCACATTGTGATGAATGAAAGTCAATGTCAACACCCAACATAGCTTTATCTCGTCTCATTTGCTCTAATTCTCTTGACCAACATTCTTTTTCTGCTTCAAACTTAGCTCTAAGGATTTCAATCTCTGATGGAACTACCATAATGCGATCTTCCATAGAGATATCCTCATTTTGGTATGGTAGAAGGATATTTTCATTTTTCCTGACAGATCTCCATTCCTCATAATCAGGAGTTAGCATTTCTTTTGCTGCTTTAGCTCGGATACAAAAAGTTGTTTTCCAAGCTGTAAAGGCCTCCATGATATTTCTTTTATAATTTCTGTTGTGGAATGCGAACTCAGATGAATGTAATCCAGCAGTGACATGTACAAATTGACGACCTTCATACTGTCTTATGACCAGAAGTGGTGCATATCCAATTCTTCCCCATAATCCAAGCAGCATTATCCAGTTGTAATCACCACATTTGTAAAAGAATTCCCTTTGGTTTTGCCACGGGGCTCGCCAAACAATGTCATCGCTTTGCAGATTTTGAAAGGCATTAATCCACATATCTTTCGTAATTTCTTTTGGCCATTCTTGCTCCAGAAATTCTTTCAATGGTGAGTAGTCCATATTAAAACGTCGGTATGAAACCTTTTTTGTCCTCCTGAAATGGCTGCGAATCCAGACATATAACAATTGGGTACACCCTGAGAATCGTCCACCTCCTAGCTTTCTACAAGCGTTTAACGACCTGAAAGTCTCTGCTAGAATTGCAGAAGCAGGATTAATCCTTTTTGGTAGCTCCTCAAACAAATCTACTACTGTAGCTTCAATATATCCCAATACTTTTGGGAAGATGACCATACCATACATACCCAGAGCAAAGAGATCGAATCGTACTTTAGTGTCTGGATGACTCTGAATAAGTTCTTTAATGTTGGTCCAAGCAATGCCTTCGCTTTCACCCTTTTGTTTTGTACGGGATACCACCCATTCCTCTCGTACTCCAGCAATCTTTGCTAATTTAACTCGAAAAGGTTGAGTTTTAATTGACCTTGAATAAATTCGATTCTCCAAAGCCCCTTCTATATGTAGCAAAGTTGTGTACTCTTCAATAGTAGGAACCAAGTCCTCCTTATTTAGAGTGAAGCAATTGTACCCTGGATTCTAGAATTGAATTAGGGCTCGAAGTAAGTCATCATCAACTTCGACATAGAGCAAATATGGGATGTCTCCGTAAGTCTGATAAAACTGCAACTTTTTGTTTGAGTCCCAATTCTCCCAAATGCCTCGCAAATCTTGCATATCATTTCTTTTTAGTGAAACTGGAGCATAACTGGTTAAGTCAGATACATAGTCATCCTGCAGACTGTTTCCTCCTTGTCTTTGTAAGTCCTCAGCCCACTGTCTTACTTCTGAGTTTAGAACTATTTGATTTGAACACTTTTTATCCATGGATGAAGGTTTTCCAGTGAGACAATTAACACGAGGATCAATGCCTTTTATCCTGTATGATGCTATGCAAACAGAAGAAATAAAGAACACACAAAAAGAAATGAATTAGTTTACATAATAAAGAAAAAAATAATAATTTAATAATAATGTCTACCTAAATATCTTTATTTAAACATGCTTTGTTCATACTTTAAATAATTTAAATTCACATGCAATTTAATCAGTAAGAAAATAAATAAACTAAAAGGAAAAGTTAAAATTCATTTCTCCTGTATGTACACCTATTTTGGACAAAATTTCGGCATGGCTTCAGATCGGAAGAGTTTCTAGGGTTTATTATATACAGGGTTTCAGATCTAAGAATAATGGTACCCGAATTGTCCTTGTTAGTGCCTCCTTGGGTTGCTAACCCTCAATCCTAGTCTATCACAGACTAAAGTGGATCGAGTTCAATTCGAGGGGATACACTTCTCTATACCTGACACGGAGAATAAATTCTCACGAAGACATAGAGCATATGAACCCCGAAAGTTACTTGCTTGGTCTGACACGGAGAATAAATTCTCACGAAGAAATCGCTTTCACTCCCACTTAAAAGGGACCAACTCAATTATAGAGCTTTATGTTATGTTATGCAATGCAAGTGTTGTGTGTGAGGAGAAATGTTCAAACCTCTGACAAAAAAAATTAATAATGAAATAAAATACTTGCAAGTAAAATGAAATATTAATATAAATACTATAAAAATAATAAGTATATAAAAAATTTGAAAAGAAAGAATTATAAATTAAATGTATGAATTTTTTATTTATAATTAATATAGACAATTTATAATTGCATTTTAAAAGCCTGACTCATCCCCAGCGGAGTCGCCAAGCTGTCGTAACCAGTTTTCGTCCGGGCACGAATTTTTTACTTGGCGGGAAAAGTGATATGAATAAATGGTTTTTTTTAAAATAATTTGGGAGCCGCCATCGGCCTTTTGGGTCAGGTAGGTCGAATACCTAAAAAATTATCTTTTAAAAGAGTTTTTAAGAAAACATCAGTTAAAAGATAAACTGATATGCGTTTTAACCAAAAATTCATTCTTTTTAGAAATAAAAAGGGATTCGTGGTCGGTTACGTTTAGGGAAGGATTAGCACCCCTACAACGCCCAAAATTGGTACTTTTTAATTATAAATTGTCTCTATTATTAGAAATTTAAAAATTCAAAATATATTTAATTTATAATCTTATTACTTCAAAATTATAAAAAAAATATCAATTTATATATATTTATAAATAAAATATTTATTTATTTAGAAATATCAGAAAAGGACTTCTAGGTGCCTTAAGACAGCTCTTTTCTTCGATATTAAAAAATAAATATAAATAAAATATTTCCAAAAAAATATTTTATAGGGTAAAAATATCACAAAACGGACTTTTAGGTGCTTTAAGACAGTCTTTTTCTTTAATATTATTAAAATAGGATTATTATAATTATTTTATATAAAATATAATTCATATAAAGATTTTAATAAAAATAAAAATAAAAATATTTATTATATATATATTTGTAATAATAATACTACTACTAATAATAATATATTACAAATAAACATATAAAATTAAATCAACAACTAAAATAAATGAAATTAAAACTATATAAAAATGATTAATAATTTAAAACTAATGACTAAATTAGAATATATTAAAAATAAATATCTAATTCGTAATTATTCAAAATTTCAGTGGCTAAACATGCTATTCTATCCCTTTATTAATTTAGTGACTAGATTAAAATTATATTAAATTCGTATATCAAATTAAAAGAAATTAAAACATGTTATTCGGGGTTTAAAATATTAATTAATAAAATTATGAGGGCTAAATCAGTTATTTTACCTAAAGTATATATAAGTAAATCAGTGACTAAATTATAATGAATAAAAATTAAAAGATCAAATTATAATAAATATAACAATATGTTATAATGATCAAATTGCAAGTTTTCAAAGTTACAGTGGTTGCGGGAATAATTTAGCCATGCACAAAATTACACAAAGGCCCTCACCAAAACTACGTCGTTTTGGTAAGGGTATTTATACCCCATAATAACCGGCCCTTCGGGCCAATTCTTCATTTCTTTCTTTTCTCTTCTCTCTCTAAACTGAGAGAGTTTAAACTCTCTCTCGCTTCTCTCTAAAACTGAGAGAGAGAGAGAGACCCGGGCCGGCAGCCTTGTACTACCGCCATCCTTACCGCCGGCCACCGCATTCGGTGGCCGAAAAATTTTATTTTACACTAAAATGTAGATCGGGCCGTCCTAATGACAGTTCCGGTATCTCTTTCCCATAAATGGCTCCCGATCGGAGCAAATCTAGGAAAATACCTTCGGTTTTCAAAGGTTTTTGGTGACGCTTGGAGGCCGGTGGTGACTCCGATCGAGGTGTTGTCTTCCTCGGTAAGCTTCTCTCGCTCTTCTCTTTTTGTTTTGTGGTTTTCTTTTTTTGTTTTTTCTTCTTCCTCCCCTTTTGTTGGCAGGAGGCTCGATGGCTTTTATAGCCACCACCGAGGCTCTCGTCGGACCGGTCTCAAGAGTGAAGGTTAGTGAGTCACCGAGCTATGTGGTGACTCACCCCATAGCTGCGACGTTGACAGCTGTGTTGGGATCTCTGGAAGCTTCTGTTGCCGTCGTGGCAGCAGAGGTTGAGGCGGTGGCAGCGGATCGTCGGCAGTGGCCGGTTGGAACACTTTGCAGCAGAGGCGACGGTTGTAGTCCCTAGGGTATCATAACCCTAGGGTTTCCATCTGGAGGCTTCTGGACCATTGGATCTTATCAGATCCAACGGTGGAATTGATGTTGGCAGCTGAAGAAGATGAAACCCTAATTAGTTTAGGGTTTCCATTAGGCTGGCTCAAATTGGGCCAGAACTGGGTTTCGGGATTGGGTCTGGACCAGATTGGGTATTATTGTAATTGGGCTCCGGGTATTGGGCCTATAATATGTAATAATAATATTTATTAATAAAAATATTAATAATAATAATATAATAATAATAATAATATAAATAAATAAAATCGGGACAAAAATTTAGTGTCTACAACCGGCTAAGCTATTTTCATAACTCTCGTGTATCGAGTCATTGCAGTCATTCACCTTCGTATGGCTCGCTCGGTGTCCTCCAAGAGTCCTATGGGAATCGAAGGTCTTGTTACAGGTTAAACACTCGTATTTGCTTCCCTTTCGAGGACTGCAATAGGCGTCCTTGCCATTTATTCTTAAATCATACTTGAATTTACTAGAACGCTTCCAATATGTAGCATCAAACTCAGATCCAGAAACCATTTTCAGCTTCTTAGACTCGATGTTCTTGCGAAATCCATCGACCTCATCTGATTCCACCTTCTTTGGTCCAAATCTAAAATACCCTGAATCAGAATTCTCAGAAGAATGACAAGTTTCAGCTTCAGCTGGTTCCTTCAACTCGTTGGAAACACATTTCATGGCATTCTCGAGGCTAATCACATCGATGGACGACGATTTATCTTCCAACACGATCGAGTTGTTCTCCAGATAATCGACGACCGAATTCAACCCTTTCACTATCTCCGAAACAGATGAAGAACCATTCCCCATGTTGTCCGAATTACTCCATTGAACACCGATCGCCTTGTACTTCACCCTCTTCGATCTCCTTTTACCGGGACTCGTCGATGTCTCCGTATCCGATTGACTATCCATTATCAGCTTATGTTTATCGCCATTGTCCAAATGATGAACTCTCTCCTTCTCGGAATGGCAAGACGTGACCAAAAAGAGCCTTCAATGATCTAAAACCCTTGCCACATTCTTTGCAAATCATCTCTTTGAATGAAGCCACATTGCCTGAATCTGAAAACCTAATGGTGTTCTTGGGGTTTTCCCTCAAACCAGAAAATCTCTTCTTGCTTAGATTGATAAGCTTTTTCAAGCGAAAATCAGCTGATTCTTGCTCTGTTTAAGCAGAGTTTTCGTTGTTCATATGGATTCTTATGTGACCACCCAAGGATTTCCCACAAGTGTACCTCTTCTTGCACAATTTGCAAACGAATCCTTTTTCTTGGTTTAGTTCCATTAAATAATCAATGGAAGATGATCAATTAAACACAAAAATGAAAAATAACGAGCAAAGGAAACAAGATCATTAGCTCATTTCTTACCTCAAATCTTTTTAAAAAAAATACCACATTTTGCTCCAGGATTGCTTCTTTACTGCGCCAAGGAACAGAATAAAAGGGTAAACTACACGGGAGACCACCAACCTATGGTCATTAATCAATCTTACCACCGAACTATTTTTTATCTCAATTCGACCACCAAACATTTTAATTGATTCAATTAGACCACCGCACCGTTAATTTTAACAGACTTGGTGACGTTTCCGTTAATAAAATTGACATAATTTTATATTTGGTCATTAATATTTTGCATATTCTATCAATTTAGTCACTATTTTAATTCAATTAAATAGATTTAACTATCCAATTAGAACAAGACACGTGTCAATACATGATTGGAAGGTTTTATTTATGATTTTTAAATTATTTAATTAACTGATTTTTTAACCAATCAAGTGGTGACACGTGTCACTAGCCCGATTGAAATGGAAAATTGAAGAACAAATTGCTCCCAAGGACAATCGAACTTGTGTCTGTGGAAGGAGAATTACTAAGTGCCCAAACCGTTGGGCCAAAGCTCCCCAATGGTTCTAACTTACAACAATTTGTATTCGACTTGTAAAAGTTTGTTAATGATAAAAAAAATAAACAAATTATTTGTTTAAATAAATTATTTTTTTTTAACCGTTAATCGAACCGAAATTTATTTGAAAATTATTAACAGAACCAAATTAACGGTTAATCGGTTAATAATTTTCAAATAAATTTTGGTTCGATTAAAGGTCAAATAATTTCGGTTCGATTAATGTTAAAGAAAAAAATTCGGTATATTTTCAAATAAATTCGGTATACATATGTTAAATAAAATAACTTGTATATTTAATTTAGCCTATTGGTTAAGACTTTTCTTGATTACTAATTGATTTTGAGTTCAAATGAAATTAAGTTATTTTAGTCATACCTAAACATGAACAGGTTATATAATATATGTATTATCTTGATAATAAATGTGAGAATTGGCTCAACGATTAATTTTAAAATCTAGAGAATTTAATCTATAAATTTAATACATAACTAGAATAAATGATTTTAATGTTAATGCTCAAATTAACGCATTAGCCAAATTAAAAACATAATCAAGATCAAATTGCATTAAATGAAAATCCAAGGAAACAAATCATATACAAGTAGTGACCAAAATGGAAGAAAACAAAGAAGGGTGTCAGCTTCACGAATACATAAATTTACAAGGACCCGTGCCCTAGTTATACCAATTTTGTTAACTGTCACGTTAACACTTCCGTTAGATGTTAACGGTAGGTGACTATATTGAAATCATTTAAATAGTTTAGTGGTTATATTGACATAAATTTAAAAATGGTTGTCATTTTGAGACCAACCCTCATAATTGGGTAGTCATTTATGTATTTTACCCAAAAATTAAATAAAGGGTAAACAATGCTGATGTGTCCCTTAAATATTGAGAAAACTAAAAAAATATATATAAATATATTGATTCAAAAGACGTATAGCATTCAAACATTATAGTGATCCAAAAGATCTAAATGTTTTCACTTGTGTAGCAAACATAGTATTAATGTTTTGTGTAAATCAAGAAAAATGTATTTATTTATAAAAGTGGATAAAAACATTTAGATACTAAAAAAATTATATAATTCGGGACCTAAATTGAACATTAAGCCCTACCCCCTAATTTGTCTTGCTTGGGAGCTAAACAAGTGAAAGCTCAAATCTCCAGTTGTATTTAGGCTTTCAGCTTTTCTCCAATTAGGCCGCTGCTAAAATGGGTCTATGGTCATATTCATAAGCAAAGATGTTTCATTTTGGTTGGACTTAGCCCCATGTGTCATGTGTGCGTTTATTTTGTCTTCTCAATTTCTCCTTTGGATAAATTAGCATTTAGTCATTGAACTTGATAATTTTCTCAATTTAATTTCTAATTATTTTTTCAATATAAATTTTTTAATTTGATAATTTTTGTTCATTTTAGTAAATGTGACTCAGACTATATCATAATATAATCTCAAAGTGTAATATAGTCAAAATGGAAAAAGTAAAATGGAAAAATCGAAGATTAATAAGAATTAAACGATTTCAGTAATTATTGAGATGATTATTATTCATAAAGAAATGGAAGCATGTCATTTCTCATATAAAAGAAAATTACTATGAGAATTACTTCTCAATTAAAACAGTATGCAAGATAAGGCTATCTTAACAATGCAATAAGTCAACCTATAAGCATCCCGTCCGATTCAATGAAAATAGAAATGGTGGAAAAAGAATCCCACATCCGTCGATTACAGAAGCAATAACAAAATCAATTCTGATTTTTTTTTTATTAAAGCAAGATCAAAATTTGTACGAGAAAATATAAAAATTATTAATATTTTTGTAAAACATTTCCTTTTGGTTTTTTCTTTTTAAATCTTTTCAATTTATATTTAAAGCTAATTTAAAATTGTCAAGATTTCAATTTAAATTATCTTCTTTAAAGTACAATATATTTGAGGTATAAATGAATATAGCGTTCAATGAATTTTTCACGAAATATTTGTTTGTTAAATTAAATAAACGATTACGAATAAAGTTTTGGGTAAGTTATATGTTTAGCACCTAAATTAATACTTTTGTTCAAATTTAGTACATAAACTTTATCTTTTTTCAAAACATACCTAATGTTTAGTTTATGTTTTATTTTGGTATCCCGCAATTAGAAACTTAACGAAAATGTTGTACGTGGCATTTTTATGGGTAAATTACATTATTCCTCACTAAGCTATCTTCTCGCTCTTATTTTGGTCACTAAAGTTTAAAATTTTTAATTCAAGTCCTTAAGTTGCAAATTATTCCTATTTTAACCACTCTAATTTATTTTATTAATAATTTTTACTACATGACATTTTTTTTATTTTATTAATATATAATTAAAATAAAAACTTAAATTTGAAAGTTACAGTAACCAAAATAGGAGTGAAAAGACAGTTGAGTGGTGAATGATATAATTTACCCATAAAAAGGTTTCATGTACAGTAGTTTCGTTACACAACTAAATGTTTATAGGGATGTAAATGAATTGGACTTGAACTAATAAGACTTTTTCATGTTCATTTGTTTATTTTTTAATGTGTTCGTGTTTGATTCGTTTAGTTTTCATGAATATGTGCTTTTTAACGTTTGCGAACATCTTCGTATATATGTTCGTCAACATATTTGTTTAGTGTTTGCGAACATAGTTTGAATTTCAAAGTTCACCTTGTATCCAATTTAATCCTTACCTTCATAAATATTTAAAATGTAAAAAAAATTAAACTTAATAATCCTTGTATTGGAGTAAGGAATATATATATATATATATATATACGCTAAAAAGCTTTGCCACCTGTTCTGTTTAAGTGAACACCAAAACATATCTAGTTCAAAAAACAAGTATCACCATGATTCATGAATGAGATAATCGGTATAAATTCACTAGTAAAGGTTTTATCATCATAAAACAACAATAAATCATGTATATTCTACGGACTAAGATAGAGAGCCAGACACTACCGTGTCATGTAATAACTCTATACAACTCCAAACAGAATCTTAGAACTATAACAAAAAAAAATGTGGTGCATATAAAATTGTATAATCGGATTATATGTCTCTCAAAAGTATGGTCTATGCCACAGCTGGCATGTCCTTAAGCCATTGATGCAATGGCTTCCCAATGGAGTAGACAATGAATCCGATAGCCCTTAGCTTAGCTTCGTCCATGACGTTCCGGCCATCGAAGATGAACGCAGGCTTCCGCATGTTGTCGTAAATCCTTTGGTAATCAAGGATTTTAAACTCGTCCCATTCTGTCAGAATGCTAACCCCATGAGCATCCTTGGTTGCTGCATAGGCATCCCAAACTACATTAACTTGCTTGATTGAAGTAGCGGTCATAGGCTGAAGATGAACCGGATAGTCTCAGTCGAACTTGTTCATTGCAAGATCCCTCTGAATCTGCTCCTCGCTGACTTGAGGGTCGTAGATGCTCAGTCGTGCCGTATCGCCTAACAGCCCTTTGTACATATCGATAGCTGGGGTCTCACGAGTGTCACCATTGTCCTTCTTGAATGCAAATCTAAGAATGGCAATCTTCATCCCTGAAACAGTGTTAAACATCGAGGAAACAATCCGGTTTACGAATTGAGTCTTCTGGTAGTCATTAATCTTAATGATTTGTTTCCAGTAATTGGCAACTTCTGGAAGGCCATTGCATTCACAAATATAGATCAAGTTCATAATATCCTTTTGGAAACACTATCCACCGAAACCAACAGTAGCATTCAAGAACTTGGGTCCAATTCTCGTGTCTTTTCCATTAGCATGAGACACTTGACTCACATCAGCACCAGTTGCCTCACACAATGCATACATAGCATTAACCGAAGAGATCCTCTATGACAAGAAGGCATTGGAAGCGAGCTTCGATAGCTCTGCAGAACAGAGGTTGGTGCATATGGTCCACTCCACAGGGACCCAATGTGCATACACATCCCTCAACGCTTCAATCGCCTTTTGACCTCCTGGGGTCTCCTTGCCTCCAATAAGAACACGGTAGAGATTGAAAAGGTCCTGAATCACAGTTCCCTCAGCAAGGAATTCTGGGTTTGAGATAATGTAATACCCAAAAAATATTGATTAGTGACTAAAACATAATTTTTGAAAGTTTAGTGGCCAAAGTAGAAACTTAGAAAAATTCAAGGACCAAAGAGGTAATTTTCCCAAAAAAACTATTTTATAAATAAATATTTCATCTTTAAGAATATATTCTTTATGCAATTCACATTTTGATATGAAATTTATGTAAAGAGCTATAAAGTGATAAAGTTTTTGTATAATTAGATCAAATCGAAAATTTACAAAAATTTAAAGAATGTTAGTACGGGGTTTGAAATATTATATTTATAATTTTAATAAGTATAATTTAACATGGAAAATTGGGATTAAGTGGATTTTCCATGTTAAAGTTGAATAGTGGAAATTAAGTGACTAAATTGAAATTTTAGAAAAGTAGAAGGGAAAGATAAAAATTAATCAAATAAATGTTGATATTTATATGAATATGTAAGAATGGTGATGAAAGCATGGAAAATTAGTAGATATCAAGATTCATTAAGGGTAGAAATTACTTTTGGATTAAAATAATTTTTAATTCATTTTAATTAGAATTTAACAAGTGTAAATAGATATTTTTGTAGAAAAATGGAGAAAACTCCTTCTCCCTATAAATTTCGTGCACCATAGATGAAGGTATGTTTTCTTCCCTTTTTTTTTCTTTATTTTAGTCCTTTTTACTTTGATTTTTTTGAAATAAGTTGTGAAATAAAAAAATGATATATATCAAATTCTCTACCATTTGATATGAACATTACATGATTTAAATGCTTGAATCAATGATTTTGTTGCTAGAGTGGATGATGAATAAGTTGGATTTTGATTATTTATGGATATATATTTGTGTTATTAATGTTATAAAGTTGTTTTCAAGTTTCAATAATGATCAAAATTACTTAAAATGTTTATATACTATTCAGTCATGGTTAAGATTCACGAAGAAATAAAAATTTTGATTAGTTTTTGTTATGAAAATTATTGAAATTACATGGAAATGTTATTAGGAAGATGAAATCATGCTTGAACCAAGTTGAAAATCAAGCTTAATACACTTTAATCAATTAGGCCTAAGGGAAGAAGGCAGATAAAAATTGTGGAAAAATTATCAAGGTCTAGAAATAATGTGTTAATGATTCTATATGCTTAAAATATGATTAGGAAAAATTTAGAAAATTTTAAAAGTATAGGGACTTAATTGCATAAATTGAGAAATATTTCCTTGTTATTTTTTGCTCCAAATCTATTGAAATTACATGTGTAAAATTAAAATTATATCTCTAATAATATACAATCTACAAAATTTAAAACAAAACTAGATAAGAAATATAATACTACTTAAATAAAAATCAAAATACTAAATCTAACTTACAATTTTTCTCCAAGTTTTCTTGTTATTCCTCCCCTCTTTTTTCACTCTTTTTTTTTCTTACTTTATCTTCAACTTCATCAATTTAATACCAAAAAAATCCCCATCATCTACTCCTACCTATTATATACCCCCAAAATATATTGTTACTGCTGCCCCCTTTCCCTGCGTCGGCTGCGCCTCTGCCATGCTGCAATGTGCATCAAATTTGAAATTGTGAACAGTAAAAACTACACTGAAGACACCATGTATTCATGACATCCAAATTTTTTTTTATTAAAAAAGCTACTCGACATCCCAAAATTTTTAATTCAAATATTCAAGAATAATGAAGACACTATAAATTCGTGTCACCTTCAATTTTTGAATTCAAAAAATTATTTTGAACAGTAAACGTCATACTTCATTAGGGACCAAAACGATGAAGATGTAGAAGTATGCATATAAGGACACGTTCTCCCCTCAAAAGATTGTTTCAAGTACCTAGGGTCTATGATACATAAAGATGGGGTGTAGATGATAACGTTACACACCGTATAAAGGCGGGATGGCTAAAGTGGAGGGCCGCTACTGGAGTTTTGTGTGACAAGAAGGTGCCTCTAAAACTTAAGGGGAAATTTTATAGATTGACAATAAGACCATCGCTGTTGTATGGATCAGAATGTTGGGCAACCAAGAAGGATCATGTAAGGAGAATAGAGGCCGCATAAATGAGAATGCTTCGATGGACATGCGGTAGGACTCTGTGGGATATGACAACAAACTCTGCTATTAGGATGTCCATGGGGGTGGTGCATGTTTCCGAAAAATTGAGGGAGGGAAGACTACGGTGGTTTGGGCATGTCCTTAGGCGATTACCGTCGGATGCGGTCAGGAGGGTAGAGTCGATTACAGTCGACGGTGCCAGAAGGTGAGGATGACCAAGGCGGAAGTGGGAAGACTGCTTGAGATCTGATTTGATGGATTTAGCCATTACCGAGGACATGACCTCTGATAAGAAAGTATGGAGACTTAAGACTAGGGTAGTCGAGTAGTGTGGGTCACATCTCTAGGGTGTATCATCTCTGTCTTCTTTTAATGCATTTGTAGTAATTTCCATGACTTCTACTTTTTATACGTTTCTGTTATTGGTATTTATGAAGGCTTAGAACTGAGATTGCTATCGTTGACTTCTGTGTAACATTCTCTTCACTTTTAAATTTAGTCGGGTCTTACGTTTCTGTCTATATGCAGAGATTTTTTCACAGGGATTTATTTGTAGGGATTACTGCCTATTACAAACGCACATATGATATTAATGATATTAATGACTGCATATGAATACTGTTCAACTATGTATTTATGTATACATGCATTGTATTTTATCTATATTTTTAATTTTCTGACTGCCGGAGGTCTTTCACGGAAACTATTCTCAACCTGACATTGCATATGAGAATTTGATTTTGTTATTGTTGTTTTGTTATATTTTAAAAAATAAAAACAACGACGAAATATTTTTTTTAAAAAAAAGAAAAAAACAAATGCAATATTTTGAAAAATTACTCAGATTACTTAACTTACTATAATAATAAAAAAAAAGAAGAGGCTTATATATCAGATACCGACACCCACAGCCCACCGTCATTCTTTTCTGTTTTCTTATCTCTTGCCCTTCTGGAAATCTCCAATCTCTTTGATTTTCTGGGTTCAAACCAACGGTATATATCTTTAAAGATCTGTTCCTTTTCAAATTCTTCCCCCTCCTTGCATCAACCATGGTGCTTTTAGTTTACCTAGTGGTGTTCTTAGCCTTCACCGGTCATTCAAGTAAGTTCTTTCTCTCTTTTCTTTTCTCTTGTTTTTCAACTAAAGAAAAGTTTTTTTTGTTGATGATTGTTTATGGTTTGGGGTTGCAGGTGCTACTTACTGTTTGTGCAAAGATGGAGTGAGTGAGGAAATGCTTCAGAAAGCACTGGATTATGCTTGTGGAGCAGGAGCTGATTGTTCTCCGATTAATAAGAACGGTCCTTGTTTTAATCCCAATACAGTGAAAGATCACTGTAATTATGCAGTCAATAGTTATTTCCAGAAGAAAGGCCAAGCTCAAGGGAGCTGTGATTTTACAGGCACTGCCGCTGTTAGTTCAAATCCTCCTCCAAGTAAACTACCTCAAAAAACCAACCATTTTTACTGAATAATTTGTATTTTGGGGGTTTTCATGATTTTTTTTGGCAGATGTGCCTTCTTCCTGCAGTTTTCCTTCCAGGTATGGTTATTTAACCCTTTGTTTGGTATTCCAGAAAAAGATTTTATTTCTGAATAATTTTGCTTGTTTTTACTGAATGAATTTGTAGTGGATCAAGCTCAACACCGACCACCGGAACTCCGACACCGCCGACGACCGGAACTCCGACAACGCCGACGTCCGGTACTCCGACAACGCCGACGTCCGGTACTGCGACAACACCGACCACCGGGACTCCGACAACACCGACCACGGGTATTCCTTCGACAACGCCGACCATGGGGAGTCCAACAACACCCACAACCGGAACAACCAACGGGATCCCTTCAACAACCCCTACCAGTGGGACAAACACCGGGACACCGGTGTTCGGAGGTGGAACAACCTCGTTTGGCCCGTCGGGGACAACCACAGGCATCACCGATCCAAATCATGCTGCACGTGTTTTCACCGCCAATTTTGTCTTCAGTTTTGCCGTCAGCCTTTGGGTTCTTCTTCATCTTGTTAATTTAAGTAAATAAACATGGTATGTATGTGGGGAAATCATTTGGTAGAGCCAAAAACCCATGAGATTAAATTCATATATGGATGTAGTAGTAACAGTAGTAGCGATCATTTTAGCTTTTAATTTTCATGTCTTGGTCATGTGCGATTCCCTTTTCGGTGCTCACTAATACATACTACTTTGTAGATTTGTAGGGGTTAAATTAATGAGAAATAATTAGTTTAACCAATTTGCCTGGCTGGATTCTTTGCTCTAGCTAAAGAGGTTTTTAAATAGAGAAAATCGCCTCAGTGACCAAAAAAAAGTTATAATATACGATTTTAATCAACTTTTTTTGGATTTGCCAAAATGACCAACAAAATCGCAACGCGAAATAAAAATCGCAACGCGATCCCCAGAATCGCAAATCAGTTTCCAAAATCGCAACGCGATTTTTGAAAATCGTAATGCGATAGTACAAATTCGCATTGCGATTTTTCAAAATCGCAACGCGAATATGAAAATCGCATTGCGATTTTCCAAAATCGCAACGCGAATATGAAAATCGCAACGCGAACACATAAATCGCAACGCGTATCCGTAAATCGCAACGTGTATCCGTAAATCGCAACGCGTATGGGTAAATCGCAATGCGTATCCGTATATCGCAACGCGTATCCGTAAATCGCAACGATAATACATAAAATCGCAACGCGTATCCGTAAATCGCAACGCGATATTTAAAGCGCCATTATAATCGCTACGCGTATTTTATTTTCAAATTACAAAAAGAATATTAAGACAAAATCCCGTAATCGCAACTCATAACCTAAAACCTAAAATCACAACTCAGTCCCATCTCCATCTCTCACTCTCTACGGCGAAGAAATCCGTCCCCATCTCCGAAGATTTCCGTCCCCATCTCCGGCGAAATCCCTCACAACCATTCACGGTCAGAAATCCCTCACAATATTCAGAAATGGAAAATCAACCTCCGAGGGTTAGTTTTTTTAATTATTTTTATTTTGAAATGTTTGCATTATTGTAGGTTTTTCATATTGAAACTGATGATAAGTTTACTGGTCATTTCAATAATAGATTAACCATTTCACTTAGATTTCATTTCGCGTTACGATTCTGTCGTTGCGATTTTCATTTCGCGTTGCTATTCTCTCGTTCCGATTTTCAAGTTAGTATTTGTCTTTGTCTTTGTTCTGTCTTTTGGTTGAAGTAATGCAATCCATTCAAGTTTCAATTTGTAGAAGAGTCGCAACGAGATAAATGAAAATCGCAACGAGAGAATGACTGTCGCAACGAGAGAAATGAAAAGCGCAACGAGAGAATCGCAACGCGAAATGAAAATCGCAACGAGAGAATCGCAACGCGAAACCAAAATCGCATTGCGATTTTCATTTCGCGTTGCGATTCTCTCGTTGCGATTGTCATCTCGCGTTGCGATTCTCTCGTTGCGATTTCATTTCAACCAAAAGACAAAACAGTGTTGCAAATTTTAGTTTCAAGAATAAACTACTACTTTTTATGTTTATTGTTTTTGGTATATCTTCACAGTGTAGTTTTTGGTATATCTAACTTGGTATGTTTATTGTTTTTGTAGAAATTTTTTTCGGCTCAATTGACCTTGAGAAATAAAGTCAGCCTGACCACTACAATTGCAAAGAAGCTTTCACCTGCTCAAAGACAATTGTTTGAGGAAACCTGCTTCGGGCCATGGCTGAGAGTACAGCATCCGGGTGGAGATGCTAATTTGACCCATTTGTGGCTTCAGACCATGACATCAAATCTACCCGACAGTATACAACGTGGTGAGGAAGAGATATGGTTTCATTTTCCACCAGCGTATACTTGTTTTGGGCGGAAGGAGTTCTGCTTAATCACTGGTCTACGATTCGGACACGATGATGTAGGCCGGTACACTCGTCATATCGCCCGCCCATCATGGTTATCCGGGTTTTTCCGGATGAGTCAATGGAGAAGCCGAACCTACATGTCGACGACCTGAAGAAATTGTTTAATAAGAAAGCTGGTTTCACTCGGATGGATGACGTCGATGTTGTCCGAGTATGCCTTCTACTACTTGTGTATGCCGGCTTTTTAGGCAGAGAGGCCAGACAACCTATTCATCGGGAGCTAATAATATTGGTAGAGGACCTGAATGCATGGAATCTGTTTCCGTGGGGTTCGTATATATGGAAAGCTACCTGGACTAAGTTGTCGTCTGCCTTTGATGACCGCAAAAGTTTGCGGGGCGATGGGTCCAAATACACTTTGTCAGGCTTTGTTTGGGCCTTTAAGGTAAGAATTTCTATATAATGTTTCTAAAATTATAATTAATTATTTAACAATTACTAATTTTGTTATTATATTGTTTGTAGATTTGGATATTCGAGGCTTTCCCCAGCATGCGTACATATGCAATAAAAACGTCAAATGATATTCCCAGGGCTATTTCCTGGAAGAGGAAAACTCTGTTGGATTGGGAAGACTTAATACCATATGCCACAATAAATAATGTAAGTTAACACAAATACTTTCATATAATATATAAACAAGTTATTAATAGTAGACGTTTAACTTTGTTTGAGTTTTTATATTTTAGGAGGCTAACATTCCATTACAAAGACTGACACCCACGGAGGAAGAGCTTGCCACTGATTGGTGGCAAGCTAGTCAGAATTTTTTTGATGGCACGGATGATGAGCAGCATCCACTTCCTCCAATTCGAGAGCCATCACCTCACCTAGAGCCATCACCCGATCGACCCGACTATACACCTCTAGAACGAGAGCCATCACCTATCCCGTCACATCATCGAGCCTCTTCTCCACCATCACCTCATGATAGGCGACCGGCAAAGATGCCACGACTCCTATCTCCCTGTTCTCCACCTCCACCTCAACGGGATGAGTCAAGGGAGTTACGTGATGAGGTCAATGCCTTGCGTGAGGAGATCGGTACTCTACGCGATAACGATGGTGCATGGCGTGTGGAGGTGTCAACTTTACGTGGTGAGGTTGCCGCTCTACGTGAGATGATAGTATCGTTGCAGAATGAGGTTCATACTCTACGCAACGAGGTAAGTTTAAGATTTTCCATATTTAACTTAATGATAAATTTACTCGTAATTTCACTTAGATTAGCCATTTCACTTAGATTGCTTAGTAAATTTATTCGGTTGCTGCCAATTCTGCTAAACTGTGTATTCTTTAACACTGTGAAATAGTATTTGTCTTTGTTTTGTCTTTTGGTTGAAAGTAAATTTGTTCGGTTGCTGCCAATTCTGCTAAACTGTGTATTCTTTAACACTGAAATAGTATTTGTCTTTGTTTTGTCTTTTGGTTGAAAGTAAATTTGTTCGGTTGCTGCCAATTCTGCTAAACTGTGTATTCTATAACACTGTGAAATAGTATTTGTCTTTGTTTTGTCTTTTGGTTGAAAGTAAATTTGTTCGGTTGCTGCCAATTCTGCTAAACTGTGTATTCTTTAACACTGTGAAATAGTATTTGTCTTTGTTTTGTCTTTTGGTTGAAAGTAAATTATCCATTCAAGTTTCAATTTGCAGAAGAAGAAATAGTTTACTTTCGCAACACGAAACTTAAAATCGCAACGCGAAACCAAAATCGCAACGCGAAATGAAAATCGCAACGACAGAATCGCAACGCGAAACCAAAATCGCAACGACAAGATCGCAACGCGAAACCAAAATCGCATTGCGATTTTCATTTCGCGTTGCGATTCTTTCGTTGCGATTTTCATTTCGCATTGCGATTCTGTCGTTGCGATTTTCATTTCGCGTTGCGATTTGGTTTCGCGTTGCGATTTTAAGTTTCGTGTTGCGAAAGTAAACTATTTCTTCTTCTGCAAATTGAAACTTGAATGGATAAATTTACTTTCAACCAAAAGACAAAACAAAGACAAATACTAACTTCAGGGTATTAGTTTGAAACATATTTTTCTTTGTTATCTTATGCATTTTGTGAACTATGATAGAATAATGACTTGGGTGAATACAATGCAAGTTTGAAACATATTTGTCTTTGTTTTCACTGTTTAAATATCATGTCTGTTTATTTACTGATTTTTGTATTTAATTATTTAGCGGCCCGATAGAGTGGATGCTTTACGTCGGGTTATGCTTGCACGACGGAGTTCACGCATCAGACAGCGTGCACGTGGTATTAAGTCTCCGTACACCCCAATAGTGCGAAGACACCGCAAGAAGAAGCCCGACTCGCCTGTCATCCCTCAAGAGTCCACTCCTATCGTTGAAGAGGCCCCCCTATCATTCCTCGAGAGTCCCCTCCCACCGTTCAAGAGGCCACTGTCATCATTGAAGAGGTCCCTCCCACCATTCAAGAGCCCGATTCACATGGCGTCATATGTAGGCTTCTTGAGAAACCCTCTGACGTGCCGGACATGATGGATTCAAGTTGGCTCTTGTATGAGTTACCGGCCAGTACCATACCGGTATCTGAAGAGGAGAGGGAACAACTACCGGACACAATTCTGGATAACACCCTTTGGGCTAAGACCGCTGTTGATTTTATCTACATGAGCGGAGCCAGGGGTGTTTCACTGACATATGCAAGCTCACCGATGATATCTATTTGTTGCTTGATCGGTCTTGGTGGGGCGTATTATTAGGGGTCGAAGACAATGGCTATTTCGATGGGGGGGTAAGTCTTATATTTTTCTTATATTTCAATTTGATTAATTTTTTTTTTAAATTTATGTAAGTCACTAATATATGTCTTTTTTTGTAAAACAGCATATCGATGCGTGGGTGACACGTCTTCTAATAATAAGAAAACTTAAGAAAAATAAAAATATACGATATACAATTATGCCGACGTCTTTTCACGCCGTTCACTTGAAGAATGCACGAAATGAATCATTTGATTTGGGCAATGGACAAGCTAAACTTTATCCTGCATGGTGGGAGGTCGATAAGGTTAGTATTTATTTTAGATTGAGTTTAAAGGTTTTATGAAATAAGTACGCAAATGAATGAATTATTACTTATGATTGCAGGTGTTTATCCCTGTTTTGGAACGTAAACATTGGATTCTCGTCGAGCTTCAGCTCCCATCCCTTAAGACAATAGTGTATGACAGCATGATAAATTACATATCATTGGCTGATTTAAGAGATGTTATTAAGGGATGGAGCTCTCATTT